CAAACTAAAAAAAGTCTATGAAAAAGGTACCAGGGGCATCTCATGGGGCCCCCTACTGACCCCGGGCCCTCGGGCACTGCCCGAGTTTCCAAATGGTCAGTCCGCCCCTGCTGACTACTTTATTATCAGCATGGACCAAAAGGTCCACTCTGTGCATAAGGAGGGTTCTGCGGGGGCGGAGATAGGGAGAGGACAGCCAATTGTTACTAAGCAGCATTCACACTGAACCAGGCAGTGAAGACTTGATGCCTGAACTGAAATTAGTAATGGGCATTGATAAGACTGACCATCCAGCGCACAGTGTGCAAGCAGAGGTGACCAGTCCCCTCCAGAGGGAGGATGTGCTGAGATCCTATTCAAAGCTGAGTTTGAATAAAGACTGTTAAAATCCATGCGTCGCTTTAAAAATATTTTCCTATAGGTCTTAGTAATTATAAAAACAATTACAGAAAAAAACAAGAGAAAAGAGGGTGTACTTGCCTAGTGCATTATCCCAAGGGAGTTTATTACAAATGTATAAAAAAAAAATCCTGTATGTACTCACAGACCAAAGTTTGAAAACCGCAAAATGGAAACGATAAGTCCACAGACTCAATGGTGAGTGGGACCCGGATAGATGTACATGCCAGGTGAGCGCCATCCAGGGATACACCTTGGCTTACGCGTTTCAAGGGCAAATCCTCTTCCTCAGAGCCAAAGCTGGACCCTTGGAAGTGAAAATTGGTTGTGATGTATATACTGAAAGGTGTGTTTTCCTTCAAAAAGGAGATCCATGAGGAAAGTACACAGCTGTCAAACTGGTGCCCCTCCAGCTGTTGTCAAACTACAAGTCCCATGAGGCATTGCAAGATTTACAGTTACAAGCGTGACTCTCAAAGGTAGAGGCCCGATGGGACTTGTAGTTTCACAACAGCTGTAGAGCCGCCAGTTTGATACCCCTATAGGTGGACCCAGTTCTGGACCTCGGCTGCTACCTCTTTGATAGTGACAAAGGGAATGCTTATGAGAAGGTACATTTTTGGATATGTACTAAGGAGCGCCTGGTACAAAAGTCCAACTCACTTAATGCAGAAGAATAGCCAAAGCTCGCCTGGTATCAGCATCTGGACAGCAGAGCTCAGAAAGGGGAAAGGAGAAGCAGCAAACGGAGCCAGTCAGCTGTACTGCAAGAAGCATGCTAATAGTAAGACGGAGTAGAATGACAGAGAGATGATCCCATCAGTGTGCTGCTGCTCCTGTCACTGTCCAGTCACAGGCTGTGTAGATCCCAATCCTGGATGGACATAAATACAAATCCTTTGGGAGGATAAAAAGTCTTCTTTATGTGTATTTCATCTCTGTATTTATCCCATTGCCTGGAATTCAGCTTAAAATGTATTTTGTAGCTGAACGACAAGTGACCTACTGGAGCCAGGTCTCCATCTTTCCTGCCAGCAGACTCCTATAGACATTGATTGGCAGGATAACACATTAATACTGAAAATTCATGTTGTCAGGCACGGTGACACGTTGGTCCATCCTGTCTTGGCAATTTCATCCCTTGTTTCCAGACAAACGCTCTTACACTGGCCTACACTTCAGTTAACCATACCACCGGACTTTAAAGTACGCCTGTGCAAGAATAATTAAAAAACTGCTCCGGGAGTTGTATAGCGAGCACCAGGATGCGTCTGTAGGCTCCTTACCGGAGTGCAGCCCCATTTACTTCTATAGGGTGCATCGGTGGGCAGGATCACCTGCTGAATGTGAAATGCCCTACTTTTTGTTTTTGCTGTTCCCAAAATCACAGAATCTTAGCCAGGACACTATTAATGGAGCTGTCCAGCAGTCATTGCTTTTGACAGGTAGCTGACGTGCGATAAATGCCTCCCAACCACCTGGATGTACCGCAATGGCATGCGCATATAAAAGGGGCCTAAAACTTTGGACTTCCACCTTCCCTCATTTCTAGTGGTCACCAGGACAAATGGAAAGGATGAATATATCTAGAGAGGACACAGGCAGCAATAAAACTTGACAGTGCTCCTAACCCTTCCCTACTCTATCCAAAATGGGGCTGTACATTCACATTAAACGGTATTTATTATTTATTTCAGGTACTTATATAGCACCATCAATTTACACAGCGCTTTACATATATATTGTACATTCACATCAGTCCCTAACCCTCAAGGGGCATACAATCTAAGGTCCCTAACTCACATTCATACATACACATACTAGGGACAATTTAGACAGGATCCAATTAGCCTACCTGCATGTCCTTGGAGTGTGGGAGGAAACCGGAGTACCCAGAGGAAACCCATGCAGGCACAGGGAGAACAAGCAAACTCCAGGCAGGTGGTGCCGTGGCTGTGATTCGAACCGGCGACCCGAGTACTGCCAGGTGGACGTGCTAACTATTTAGCCACTGTGCTGCCCAAATGTTCCTTTCGCATCAACTTTTCACAACCAGGGCTCGTCTTGATGTTTCTAGGGGTTCTTTGAGCAATGGTGAATTGAGCTCCCGTCTACACTGACCAAAAACACAAGAGGGCACCTCTACTTTGCCCATGATTGTTGGGGAACAATACAGTTTTCATTGTCTGAATTGTCTATTATTATACTTCATTTAATTTCAAGATTGTTACTAAAAATGTTTGTTCAGAGCACAGGGGATGTAAAAAAAAAATTTTTCCTTGTATAATATGCTATACTGTGTGATATACTGTATATAAAATGTTCTACAGTTACTGTATGTGATCACCAAAATATTATGTGAATTGTATGTAAAATTATTTTCCCCTAGATCTGATAAACCCAAAAGCAAACATTTTATTATAGTGCAGCTTACCAATTCTTAGATGTGATGGCTGCATTAGTTTTCTCTTCTAGACTTTCTTTCGTCTATGTTCATTTGGTGATCCAGCCAGTAAGTCTGTTGTTTTTCAAAAGAACAAGCTCTCTTCCAAATGTAGACTTTTACAGGGATGAGATAAGCCATTTACAACTGAGGGGTAGTTGTATAGTTACAGTTGCAAGAAAAAGTATGTGAACCCCTTGGGATTACGTGGAGTTTTGCATGAATTGGGCATAAAATGTGCTCTGAACGTCATCTAAGTCACAACAATAGAAGAACACAGTCTGCTGAACATAATACTACACAAACATTAGATGTTGCCATGGTTTAATTGCACATAACATGTAAACATTCACAGTGCAGGGAGGAAAAAGTATGTGAACCTTTGGACTTAATAACTGGTTGACCCCCCTTTGGCAGCAATAACCTCAACCAAATGTTTCCTGTAGTTGCAGATCAGACCTGCACAACGATCTGGAGTCATTTTGGACCACTCCTCTTCACAAAAACTGTTTCAGTGTAGCAATATTCTTGGGATGTCTGGTGTGAATCGCTCTCTTAAGGTCATGTCACAGCATTTCAATCGGGTTGAGGTCAGGACTCTGACTGGGCCACTCCAGAAGGCGTATTCTGTGCTGTTGCAGCCATTGTTTTGTTGAATTACTTGTATGCTTTGGGTCATTGTCCTGTTGCATCACCCATCCTCTGCGGAGCTTGGCGGACAGATGGTCGTACGTTTTCCTGCAAAATGTCTTGCTAAACTCTGGAATTCATTTTCCCATTAATGACAACAATCTGTCCAGGCCCTGAGGCAGCAAAGCAGCCCCAAACCATGATGCTCCCTCCGCCATGTTTTACAGTGGGGATGAGGTTTGATGTTGGTGTGCTGTGCCTTTTTTTCTCCACACATAGTGTTGTGTGTTCTTCCCAAACAACTCAATCTTGGTTTCATCTGTCCACAGTATATTTTGCCAGTAGTGCTGTGGAACATCCAGGTGCTCTTTTGCAAACTTCAAACGTGCTGCAATATTATTATTATTATTATTATTATTATACAGTATTTATAAAGCGCCGATAGTTCACTCAGCGCTGTACATTACAAAGGGGGGACAGAACATGTGACAGAACAATACCAATACAATGCAAAACATGAGGAGATCGAGGGCCCTACTCTTTCGAGCTTACAATCTAGAAGAAAAATATTCTTTTTGGACAGCAATGGCTTCCTCCGTGGTGTCCTCCCATGTACGCCATTCTTGTTTAATGTTTTCCTTATTGTAGATGTGTCAACAAAAATGTTAGCATGTGCCAGAGATTTCTGTAGGTCTTTAGCTGACACTCTGGGATTCTTCTTTACCTCATGCAGCATTCTGCGCTGTGCTCTTGCAGTCATTTTTACAGGACGACCACGCCTAGGGAGAGTAGCAACAGTGCTAAACTTTCTCCATTTGTAGACAGTCTGTCTTACCGTGGACTCATGAACATCAAGGCTTTTGGGGATACTTTTGTAACCCTTTCCAGCTTCATGCAAGTCAACAATTCTTGGTCGTAGGTCTTCTAAGAGCTCTTTTCTGCGAGGCATGGTTCACATCAGACAGTGCTTCTTGAAACCAGTAAACCCAAAACAGATGTGTGTTTTTTAAGGGCAGGACAGCTGTCAGCAACACATCCAATATCATCACACTGATTGGAGTCAAGGTTGGCTCACTCCTGGCTCCAATTAGCTCTGGGAGAAGTCATTAAGCTAGGGCCTCACATACTTTTTCCTCCCTGCACTGTGAATGTTTACATGTTATGTGCAATTAAACCATGGCAACATCTAATGTTTGTGTAGTATTATGTTCAGCAGACTGTGTTCTTCTATTGTTGTGACTTAGATGACGTTCAGAGCACATTTTATGCCCAATTCATGCAAAACTCCATGTAATCCCAAGGGGTTCACATACTTTTTCTTGCAACTGTACATAGTTAGTCTGGCTGAAAAAAGACAAAAGTCCATCCAGTTCAATCATAGAAAAAAAAAGTTATAATCCTATACCCACAGTTGATCCAGAGGAAGGCAAAAGGCAGGATTTTATTTTTTATTTTTTGGGGGGGGAATGTTGGCATGCGTGTTCTTCCACTTTACAAAATATCCTTAAAATATTGTTTGGTTTTCAAGGTATCGAAGGCAGCAGCAGACTTGATGGCCTACTGTGAAGCCCATGCCAAGGAGGACCCATTACTGACCCCAGTGCCTGCTTCAGAAAACCCTTTTAGAGAGAAGAAGTTTTTCTGTGCCATCCTGTGAAGCGGGAGCGTCGCCTTTGCACCACCAGGCTTCCCAAATGCCGATTTTAGAATTTTTAACACCAAGGACTCCTTTTACAGTCTGCAGAAAAACAGCAACCGCATAACAACAAATAATAGCTGGAAACTCGGATGCCTGTGTGCCCATACACGGCACCCATTTGGAATAAGACAAAGATCTTGCGACAAAACTTGCTGTCTTTTCCAGGTCGTAGAAAAAAAAAATGTAAAGTATAAAGCTTTCTGACACTTAAGTTAAGATCCTGTTTCTTTTAGGTTCGTTTTTATTATTATAATTATTTTTTACCATATTGTTTTGTTTCTGATATTCTCTTAATATAAAATTGTTGAGGTTTTGTCATTACTAGCAGCAGGAAAAAAAAAAACACATTTTACAACGGTGTTTATATGTCATATTTTGATATTGTGCATTGTTAGAGTAGCACACAACGATTCACGATTGGGATGGTTTAAACAAATTCATTTTTCACAGCACGTTCTTCGGGACTTTGCAGGGTGCCACCTTTCACTATAATGATATTGCTATTTTGTGTTCATAAAGTGGGGGGGAGGGGATCTGACCACAATTTTTAATATTTTTGATGTAGTTTTTGATTCTGCAAAAAAAAAAAAAAAAAAAAATTGTCTAGTGCCATCATTTTTTTAATATCAATTTCTAGAAACTTTACAAGGCATTCTGCGTGGAAGCAAAACTATACACTTTCCATATCGCATAATAAGCTGCAAGTAACTTACCATTTGAAAAGATCTTGTGATTTTGTAGTAGATAGAACGGTGCAAAGGAAGACGGAAGGAAGTAATGGACGCTATGTTAGATTTTTTTTTTTAGAATTTTTGAGTGTTCAGCTAAGCCTTTCTAAACCAAGCATCATCCTGGAGTTGTTTAAACGGCACCCATTTTCATATGAATGCACCATGGCAGTTCTAGGGTAGTACTGTCCAAATTAGACCTCAAAGGCCAGGATCCTTCCACCGGTTTCATTTTTTTTAAATCTGGGTTCCAGCAGGGCCAGTTCTAGCCTATCTGATCTAGGGGTGCAGTAAAGAAGAGTCAGGGTAGAATGCCAACACTGTGTTTAGAGTCACTGACAGTCTGTCACACAGTGTCACTGCCTGGGAACACTCGTATGTAATACGCTGTCATTAGATTAGGGTTATTGAACAGAATGTGTGCCTCTTTATATTAGGAGTCCTTATCTGAGTCCTCCTTTACATCATGAGTCCTCATCAGAGTGCCCCCCCTTACATCAGGGTTCCCATCAGAGTGCCTTCTTTCATCAAGGTCTCAATCAGAGTGCTCCTTTACATCAGGTGTCCCCATCAGAGTGCCCCCTTACATCCATCCGGGTCCCCATCTAGAGTGCCCCCTTGCATCCATCCAGGTCCACATCAGAGTGCCCCCTTGCATCCCTCCGGGTCCCCATCAGAGTGCCCCCTTGCATCCATCCGGGTCCACATCAGAGTGCCCCCTTGCATCCATCCGGGTCCCCATCAGAGTGCCCCCTTGCATCCATCCGGGTCCCCATCAGAGTGCCCCCTTGCATCCATCCGGGTCCCCATCAGAGTGCCCCCTTGCATCCATCCGGGTCCACATCAGAGTGCCCCCCTTGCATCCATCCGGGTCCCCATCAGAGTGCCCCCTTGCATCCATCCGGGTCCCCATCAGAGTGCCCCCTTGCATCCATCCGGGTCCCCATCAGAGTGCCCCCTTGCATCCATCCGGGTCCCCATCAGCGTGCCCCCTTGCATCTGGGTCCCCATCAGAGTGCCCCCTTGCATCAGGGTCCCCATCAGAGTGCCCCCTTGCATCAGGGTCCCCATCAGAGTGCCCCCTTGCATCAGGGTCCCCATCAGAGTGCCCCCTTAAATCAAGGTCCCCATCAGAGTGCCTCCTTTAATTAGGGTCTCAGAGTGCTCCTTTACATCAGGTGTCCCCATCAGAGTCCCCCTTTACATCAGGAGTCCTCATCAGGGTCCCCATCAGAGTGCCCCCTTGCATCAGGGTCCCCATCAGAGTGCCCTCTTACATCAGGGTCCCCATCAGAGTGCTCCCTTACATCAACTGTCTCCACTGAAATGCCCCTTAAATCCAATATCCCATCAGAGTGCCCCTTTATGTCAGGTGTCCCCATCAATGCCCCTCTTTCAGTAACTGTTCCAATTAAAATGCCCCCTTACATATCAGTTACCCCATCAGAGTTCCCCCCTTACATCAGGTGTCCAAATCAGAGTGCCCCTTTACATCACATATGCCCAATCACTATAATCCTTTACATGGATTTTCACAATTCCCAAAAATTTTATTTACTGCATCTGTGATTAGCTCATTGATTTTCCTAGAAGTCAGCACTAAGATACAAGTCTGGTTTTACTCACCACCTGTGATAGAAATGTACGTTTTGGTGATATAGTCCCCGAGGGTCAATCACTTCTAAAGGGATGCAGACACTGCAACTTTCCTCTTAGAACACAAAGTGCACCAGCTAATTAATAATGAACCAAACCCTCGTATTCAGAATGAGTATGAGATCAATCTGGTGAAAGAAAGTGCTATTTCTTCACAGTAACAAAAGGTAGGACTCTCCTACAAGGTTTGTTATAATATCTGCAGTGTACATTGAACACCAAGAGGGGACTGTTTTTTTTTTTTCCCTCAACAAAAGTGGAGTTACTTTTATTATTTAATTATTTTATTATTATTAATTATTAGCTCAACAATAACCACAATTTTTAGTTCTAATATTTGTCAGTGCTAAAACCTAGGATTGTACGTTGTTCTTACAGACCAGAGGTGGGCAGCCCTGTGATAGGCAGAGAGCGAGGTACAATTTGCACTGTTCCTGGGTGAAGCTGTGCCTGTTATACCCAACCTACAGCTCATTGTATTTATTTATTTTATTTATTTCAGGTACTTATATAGCGCTGTCAATTTACACAGCGCTTTACATATATATTGTACAGGGGCAGACTGACCATTCGAGCACTTGGGCACTGCCTGAGGGCCTGGGGTCAGTAGGGGGCCCCATGAAAATGCCCCTGGTACCTTTTTTATAGGCTTTTCTTTTTTTTTGAGTGTGGGCGAGGACACAGGGGCCCCATGATCCCCTATTGCCCGGGGGCCCCATGAGTTGTCAGTCCGCCCCTGATATTGTACACTCACATCAGTCCCTAAACCTCAAGGGGCATACAATCTAAGGTCCCTAACTCACATTCATACATACTGTACACATACTAGGGGCAATTTAGACAGGAGCCAATTAACCTACCAGCATGTCTTTGGAGTGTGGAAGGAAACTGGAGTACCCGGAGGAAACCACGCAGGTACAGGGAGAACATGCAAACTCCAGGCAGGTGGTGCCATGGTTGGGATTGGAACCAACGACCCTAGTACTGCTAGGTGGAAGTGCTAACCATTTAGCCACTGTGCTGCCCTAGTCCTAGTCCCAGTCCTAGTCATCACCCTCCTAGTCCTGCCATGGAAAGATGCCGTTAGGGTGGATGCAGAATTTTAAGCCTTAATGTTCAGATTTCAAAGACCTTTGATGGCATTGTGAAGTACCCTTTGTACCTCCCTTAGCATTCATTATACCTACGACAAAGTCAGGTCCATTTCAAACAGCTGCCAAGATGCTGAAACCGCCTTAGCCATTGAGGCTCTCCTACACTGCGTTACCAGCCGTATACAGGTGTGCGACGACGGCCCAGAACCTAAGCCAGGGACTTGACCTGCCTGCTATCCAGAACATGGTGCCATTACGGGTTTATTTATTCTTATGTTAGTGTTTTGACATTTTAAATGGGGTTATTTAGATTTGATGCGATTTCCAATAAACGCAGTGGGGTTGATTTACTAAAACTGGAGAGTGCAAAATCTGGTGCAGCTGTGCATGGTAGCCAATCAGCTCCTTATGCAGGCCATACATGGGTTGAATTCTGAATGAATTTTCTTTAGAAAATCAGAAATTGTGTGCGCTTTGGTGCCACCATTGATTTTGAAATTCGACCAACCAAGCCTTCGATTTCACCTCATGTTACTAAAGAAAATAATTTTCGTGGCTGGGAATCTTCTTTCCAGGTCACAGCTCATGCTCATTTCTTTGTCACTTAGCCCTCATGCACACTTGATGGTTTTACAGCAGCATTTTTGGCGTTTGACTTTTTTTTTCTACAGTCAATAATGGGGGCGGACTGACCATTCGAGCACTCTGGCACTGCCCGAGGGCCCTGGATCAGTAGGGGGCCCCATGAAATGCTCTTGGTACCTTTTTTTATAGGCTTTTTTGGGTGTGCTTTGAGTGTCAGCAAGGACACAGGGGCCCCATGATCCCCTATTGCCCGAGGGCCCCATGAGCTGTCAGTCCGCCCCTGGTCAATAAACTCCCCAGCATGTTATCCTATGTGTCCATGCACACATAGACTGTAATAAACATTTTTTGGCTGGAAAAAAAAAACAAAAATAGTGGGTTTCTAGAGTTTTTTCAGCTGTAAAAATGCTCTAACACTCTAACACAAAAAACGCGGTAAAAAAAAACGCTGCAAACCGCTGTTTTTGGACTTTTTTTTTTTTACCAAAAATAATTTTTTTTTTTTTTTTTGCTAAAAAAAGAAAACGTGGGGAAATGCCACTTTCCCAATGATCACTAATAAACTAACCATAGCAGGGGTTCCCCAAGACCTAAATATTATTGCATGGGTTCCTTTGGCGTAAAAAGGTTGAGAAAGGCTGTGCCAAGGAATTGTTTGTTAAAATATATGACATTTGTTTTCAAAGTTTACAATGAATAAAAAACATAAATCATATCCCAATATAAAGATCCAAGTGGCCAGAGAGACGGGTAGTGTAGGAATAGGCAGGGGCGGACTGACAACTCATGGGGCCCCCCGGGCAATAGGGGATCATGGGGCCCCTGTGTCCTTGCCCAAACTTAAAAAAAGCCTATGAAAAAGGTACCAGGGGCATCTCATGGGGCCCCCTACTGA